CGAGGCTCCGGGTGCTGCGGACGCCGCGCAGGCCCCGCCGCCGAGGGACCAGCCCACGCCACCCGGAGCAGGAGGCCTCTGCTCACCGTTACCTTGTCGCAGTAGAGCCCCACCAGCTGCTTCATCCGCCAGTGTGGGGCGGTGAAGACGTCCACTTCTTCGGGGAAGGGCGCCATCGCCGCGACCTCAGCCTCCGCCTCGGCAGCCGCGGCCTCCGCCTCTCCATAGACACCCTCGCCGCGGGGCAGATGCGGCGCGCCCCCCTGCGCATGCGCCCGCCCCGTCGACGCGCGCGCCCGGGACGCCTGGCCAGCCGAGACGCGAGGGCGCGCGTGCCGCCGCCATGCGGTTCGGCGGTTCACGTGACCGGGCTCGCTGTGGCGCTGCTATTGCACCGCCTGCTTGTGCGAGAGATTCCTTTCTCCTAGTGTACCCCTAAAAGACCTCGATCCTCGTTTTTGTTTGCCAGTATAAAAACACACTATCTGGGGGCGGTGTTTTAACCAGGGGCGCTTCTCCCCGCTGTCCCCAGGCCCTCCAGGCCTGCGAGCGAAGGAGCCCAACACAATGGCCGCGGTGGTGGCCCCAAAGCGCGGCCGCTCCCAGGGTGACAGCCTGGGCCTTCCTGAGCACCAATCGGCCTCCCGTGATGCCTGGACGTCGCGGCCTCAACTGCCGGGCTGGGTGACGGAGGGGACTAGGGGACGGCCCCAACAACTAGCTACCCACAAGGAAGGCGGTGGCTGAGTGTTGGGCGATCCGAGATCTTCCGTCACTCCTGGAGGGAGGAGAGGGCCTCCGGAAGTTTCCGGGGCCTCTTCCAGGGGGAGCAAAATGTTTCCTGGGGATCCCGAGGGACGAGGCATTTCCAGCACAGGACTCCATCAGGAATGGGTCATACAGGCCTTGAGGGAGGGGACTAATCGCAGGTTAGCAAAGCCCTTGGGTCAGATCCCTCCCGTTAAGGCTTGTTGGTAGGTGCGTGCAGTCTCATAGGGACCCTGTGTAGGGTTTCCGAGGCTGCAAATCTCGTGGTGGTTGTGTGCCACTGAGTTGGTTCTGAGTCATGGCGACCCTGTATAGGATTTCCCAAGACTGAATCTTTACAGAAGAAAAAAGACATCTTTCTTCTAAAGAGTGATTAGTGGGTTTGAACCTCAGACCTTGTGGTTAGCAGTCCAGTGCTTACCCTAGAATGCCTCCAGCGCTCTAGCAGGTTCCGATTCAAAGCAGTCCTGTATAGTTCCCAAGAGAGGCTGGTGGGTTTCAACAGCCTACCTTGAGGTTAACAAGTGCTTATCCTACAGTGCCATACCAGGGCTCTTAATAAGAGTCAGAACCAACTCGACATGACGTACCAACAAGAAGGAAAAAACCACTGCCATCAAGTGGATTCTGTCTAGTTGTTAAGTGCAGTCCAGTCATTTCTATTCCTAACAACCCTGTATATAGTAGGGTTTCTGAGGAGCAGCTAGTGGGTTTGAACTGCCGACCTTGTGGTTGAAACCAACCTTGCCATCCAGTGCTTAGTGTACTCAAATGTTTGACCAAATATAGCCATCTAATTTTTAAGATGAAAGCTTTTGTACCGGCCCGCGAATGATTTTATAAATATCCAAATGGCCCTTAGCAGAAAAAAGGTTCCCCACCCCTGCTCTTAGAGCCACTTCACTATATGAGATTCTATATAGGGTTTCAGAGATTAAATATTTACAGCTTCATCTTTCTCCCAACAGCTGATGGTTTTGAACCTCGGACCCTGCAGTTAGCAGCCTCGTTCTAACCTATAGCACCACCCGGGCTCCTTTAGGTTAAAGGAAGACTTAAAGTCACTACAGAGAAAAGTCCAGTCTGTCTTTTCCCCAAAGTTACCTGGGACAGGCCTCCACCCTTCACGAAGCCTGGAGGGGCTCTGCTCACCCTGATCAGCCCTCTGCTGGTTAGTTGATCAGAGGTCTGGTGAACTGATAGAAAAATGGGAAAGAGCAGGGAGGCCTGAGAACCTGGGAAGGATTCTGTTATTTGCTTAATGACCATAAACTCCAGGGGACAAGGACCAGATACGCTGTTTCTCTCTGTAGTCTAAACGTTCAACAAGTAATGAGTAGCAAGAGGTGGAAGAGACCTTTGTCAGTAGAGCCTTACTTTGCCATTTATGGACAGGCGCCAGGAGCTGTGGTTAAAAGGACAGACTCTGGAGGTAAACATAAATTCCTAGTTTTGTCAGTTACTAGTTGTTGGACATCTCTGCTCAGAGATGTCACTCTGAGGACTGTCCACCTGACCCAACTCACAGTATTTTCAATAGCCTCATATGCATTCAAAATCTGGACAATGAATAAGGAAGACCCAGGAAGAATGGATGCCTTGAAATTAGGATAATGGTAAAGAATGATAAATATACCATGGATGGCCAGAAGAACAAACAAATCTGTGTTGGAAGAAGCACAGCCAAAATGCTCCTTAGAAGCCAGGATGGTAAAATGATGTGCTCAGGAGGGATAAGTCCCCGGAGAAGGACATCATGCTTGATAAAGTAGAGGGTGTGAGAAAAAGGCAGACCTTCAAAGAAATGTACTGACAAAATGACTCGACATTGGGCTCAATCATAGCAATGATTGTGAAGAGGGCCCACGGCCAGGCAGCGTTCCATTCTGTTATACCTAGGGTCACTCGGAGTCAGAACACAGTCCCTAACATCAAGTTGTAGGATCTTGAGCAAGCTACATACCTTTTCTGGGCCTCGTTTTCCTCATATATAAAATGGAGCAATAAAAACACCAGTCATATCAAGCTAAAGAGAATTAACGAGACATGGATTATATTGCAAAGAATGGGTTGACTGTGCTCATGAGGAACTTGTACACAGACCAAGAGGTAGTCATTGAAACAGAACAAGAGAACACTGAATGGTTTAAATTCAGGAAGGGTGTGTGCCAAGGTTGTATTCTTTCACCATACTTATTCAATCTGTATGCTGAGCAAATCATCCGAGAAGCTGGATTATATGGAAAAGGACATAGCATCTGGACTGGAGGAAGACTCATTTACTACCTGCAGTATGCAAACAATATAACCTCGCTTGCTGGAAGTAAAAAGGATTTGAAAATTTTATCAATAAGTATCAAGGACGGCAGCCTGTATGGCTTGCACCTCAACGTAAAAAAACAACAACAAAAGTCCTCTCTACTGGATCAGTACATAACATCATGATAAATAGAGAAAAGATTGAAGTTGTCAAATACATCATTTTGCTTGGGTCCACAATCAGCTTTCTCATGTAAATAAGAAATCAAACAACATGTTACATTAGGCAAAACTGCTGCAAAAAAAAAACAACCTCTTTAAAGTGTTAAAGATGTCAGTTTGAGGACTAAGGTGTGCCTGACCCAAGCCGTAGTATTTTCAATAACCTCATATGCAGGTGAGGAGCTCTAGTGTGGTGCTGTAGGATAAGCACTGGACTACTAACCAAAAGGTCAAAAGTTCAAACCCACCAGTTGCTCTCAGAAACCCTATAGAGTACAGCATGTTCCTTAAAAGCAAGGGTAGCAAGACTTGGTCTTTCATACTTTAGATATGTCAAGAAGGATCAGCCCCTGGTAAAATGGAGAGTCAGTGAAAAAGAGGAAGACACCCCCTCCCCCAATGAAACCAACTGGCACAGTGGCAGCAGCAATGGCATCACACCTAATGAATGTGTGCAGGACTCAGGACAGGGCAGTATTTCATTCTACTGTGCATTGTTGTTAGGTGCCATCAAGTCGGTACCAACTTATAGTGACCCTGTGCACAACAGAACGAAACACTGCCCAAGGAGTTGGAAATCACTCGATGACATCTAACAACAAGAAACACCGTCTGTTACCTATTGTTGTTGTTGTTAAGTGCTGTCAAGTCAATTCCGACCCATAACAACCCTGTATAGGGTTTCCGAGGAGCAGCTGGTGAGCTTGAACCGCCGACCTTGCAGTTCAAATGGTTTTGCAGTCTGGCGCATTAACCCACAGCGCCAAACCAGGACTCCTGTTACCTATTAAGTAAAACAACTCTATGAAGTAGGTTTTGCAATCTTCATTTTGCCCTCAAGGAACCAAAGTCTTGAAGGCATTCTGGAAATTGCTCAGGTCCCACAGTTCATGAATAATCTGTCATATGAATCTAGACTTAACAATATTATACTCACCCAGTCTCTATAATAGTTGTATGATACATAGAACTAAAGAAGCAGGAATAGCTCCTAGTAAAATCATAGATATGGTCTTTGGGACCTTCATATCGCTTTCCCTATCTTAGAGTCCATGGGTGGTACTAACCATGAAGGCACTCTGCTGAAAACCAAAAGGTTGTAGGTTCGAGTCTACCTAGAGTGCCTTAGGAAAAAGGTCTGGCAATCTACTTCTTAAAAGTTGTTGTTGTTTGTTGTTAAGTGCCGTCGA